ATAGAAGGCTCGTGAATGTCATCTGCTAGAAACACTTTTTGAAAGAAATTGATAAATGAGTGTAAAACGTCCCGGACTTTTGTCGTTGTTTTGTCTGTTTTTTGGAAATGGTTATCGAGCTATATAACTGACTTTTAAAAACGCACCAAGAAAGAGGAGAGTAGTGATCGAACGCCTCTCGTTTGGATGAGAAAAGTAGAATAGAAACAGAATTGTTTGTTATGTAAATCAAGAGTCGAGTGCTGCGAGTCGCCCGCCACTCGCCGGCATGAAGAGCCTTCGCCCCGTGGCGTCCGTGTCTTTCGTGGCTGTGACGAGGAGCCTCCCGCTGGCCCGCCTTTCCCGCCCTTGATATGCCAACACTGCGAGGAACTCTGTCGCGTCGCCCCCGGTCTCCGCCTCCGAGTCGTCGCGCGAGAACAAGGCAGCGTCGCGCAGGTCGCTCGTCCTCCAGGCTCGAGCTCGGCTTTGAGAGCGCCTCGTGCCGCCTCGGAGACACAGCCGCGTGCGGGCCAGAGCACGGCGCGGGGCGGGGCACAGCGCGGCCATGCGTCAGTGTCGGTGAAGGCTCGAGGAGGACGCAGGCGATGAATCCCTGAGGAAGGCGGGAGAGCCTTCCTTCTCGCCCTCCGCTTCCCAGGCAGGTCGTCCTCGGCCCCTCGCTCTCATCCGCATCTTCGTCTTTGTTGAGTCAAGAAGCAACTCCGGCCATCATGTCCTCCTACGAGGACACCTATTTGCGTCATCGCTACTCCTACTCTTATGACGCAGAGTAAGACCTGCTACATTCTTTATCTAATTATCTATCTATGTACGCTCCCTTCTTCCTCGCTGTCTCCCTCTCTCTCTGAAAAGAGGGAGAGGGAAAGATATGTTTTTTCTCACTTTCTTCGTACGCGAGAGTTAGATAGTGCTTGTTTATTATGTAGGCTATATAGATAAAATTAATCTGAATTATTACTTGAACAGTGTTATGACAACAAATTAGAAGTATCATATATGCGCACATTTTTGGGTGATTACATACCTTTGTCTTATTTTCACGCACTGCTAATATGATTCGTGTCGGCCCTGAACCTTCCCTGTGACGACTGCTGAGCCCATTGGGGTCCTTGTTGAAGCGTCGCCAAGTGCTGGGGGGGAGGGGGGAGGGGGCAAATAAACTCTCCCTCCCTCTGTCGATCTCATTCCTTCTCCGCACTTCTCGTCGTCCTTCCCTTCGTCCTTGCCTGCGTTCCCGCGAGGCAATCTGTCTGCTTCATCATGGCCCCTTTGCAGCGGGGAAGGAAGCTAATCCTTTCTCCTTAGGAGGAGGAGAAAGTGGAGACGGAGGTCGTGATGTTTCATATTTTCTTTTTCGTTTTTCTTTTCTTTTTTAAGGAAACCCGCAAAGCCGAGGTTGAGGTGGCGTGTTACGTAGTTTTTGTTCGATCAGGAATCAATATCCAATCTCTAGGAGACACAAGACATGCCACTTGGAAGTATGTGTCTCGCCACTCAAGCATGTCTTTGCTGCGTACATGTACGTAAACTAGCATACACCGGTAACGGGTCTCCCGTTTTACTGCATTTTCTTTTTTACTGAAATCAGAATGGCATGTTTTAAGAGTTTCATGTCAAGGGTTGCTTCAGGTTACCGTCTGGGGCCGCAGGCTCATTCGAGAGAAGGAAGAGCGTCAGTTTTGCGAGATACATAGACTCCTTCGTCGCAGGAAAGAGGGAGAGGAAGGCAGCAAACTTTTGTGCTGTGATGGAAGAGCGGAGGCGGCGAAAGGCAGCAAGCTCTTCCCTATCTTTCAATCCCTTTTTGCGTCACGAACGTTGGAGGAGGGGGAGGTTGATGGAGGGCTGATGGAAGGGCGTGCGGGAGTGTGGACGGAGTAGGGCGCTCTGACAGGAGAATAATGTTGCGCAGGGTCGGATGGAGGGCCGGGGTTGGGGTTAGGGGGGATGGGGGGCAGGGTGATTTGCTCTCGGGAGTATCGGGTCATTAGACGAACTTTGCCTCGCCCAGCCATGGAGGATTTTCCCCCATGTTGTATTTTATTGTCCCATTTTATCTTTGTTGTTCGCAATGGAGAATATGCAAAATGAGTATGCAAAAGTTTAATTCTCTAAAACAAACTGATGGCGAATAATATGAAACTCTTAAAGTAATTTAGATGTTCAAGTATTCCATTAAAACAATAACATTTGGCTCCATATAGAGACAGTTTAAGAAAGACGGATGCCTGGGTTGAATATTCTATTGTCATAAAGTGAATAGCTGCTCCAACCACATATATCTCCTGCTCCGGTTTCCACGTTTGTTCGAGTGCATCGCGTGTGTCTGAGTGAATGTGACAGTAGCAGAGTGTGAGGGTTTATGTGTTCTGCGGCTTAGTGACAAGTGAGGTGTGCGCAGAGAGTTATAAGGCCAAAGTCTGGGTTATGTACACACGAAGATCTCACGCCTCTGCTGGGATTTTGCATGTGTGTTTTTGCTATTTTTGTCTTTTAGAGGAGAGATG